AATACAAATATGTATAAATTATATATTATAAATGATAAATCGTATAAAAATATATGTAATGAAAAGTAGTGGTGGAAAAAAAGCATTTGTGGGTTTAATAAATCATTTTTGGCAAAATAAAAAGACCCCGTCACCGACCTAAAAAATGCTGGCAAAAGCACAAAAATATAGTATTTCAAATGCTTACTTGTAGAGTATATGTTTTCCATAAATTACTTTTATTGCTTGCAATGTGTCTTTGAACTTGCTAGAAAATTTGACTATTCCAGGAAGAGTCAATTACCTGGCACAACCCCCTCACTCCTTGCACATCATCTCCTGGCTCCTCCTCCACTCCTCTCCTCTCTTCTCCTCCTTACATAATCTTTTATGGGGCTGCCAAGGGAGGAGCAAAGGGAAATACAATAGAGCAGGGGTCCTCAAACTTTCTAAACAAGGGGCCAGTTTACTGTCCTTCAGACCTTAGCTGAACTGTGGCCAGTGGGAGTAGAACATGTCCTGCAGTTAGTGGTCCGCAGAAGTAAAAAATGACCCCAGTTGGTAAGCAGTGGTAGTAAAAAATAGCCTAGCGCCTGTTTGCAAGGAATAGTGCCCTATCATTTGTGTCAAAGGGAAGAATAGGGCCCCATCATTGGGTGGGAGTAATTGTGCCCCATCATTGGGTGGGGGTAATTGTGTCCCATCATTGGGTGGGGGTAATTGTGCTCCATTGTTGGTGTCAGTGGAAGGAACAGTGCCCCATCATTGGTGTCAGTGGAAGGAACAGTGCCCCATCGTTGGTGTCAGTGGAAAGAACAGTGCCCCATCGTTGGTGTCAGTGGAAGGAACAGTGCCCCATCGTTGGTGTCAGTGGAAGGAACAGTGCCCCATCGTTGGTGTCAGTGGAAGGAACAGTGCCCCATTGTTGGTGTCAGTGGGTGAAATACTGCCCCAAGGGCTGATTAAAGTGAGGAAAAGAGCCACATCAAGTACATGGACTGCAGTTTGTCTGAGCTGCATGGGGCTGAATGAGAGGAATCCCTAGACTCCCCCATCTATACTTGTCAGGGTACCATGCACAGATGTCCTCACACCACATGTAGGTACCCACGCAGGATGACCAAATTAATATGCCCACACAGGATAGGGTTATATGCACACAGTTTATTTGTTACACATCAAACAAAACTACAAACCCCCCACAGGTTTAGCAGTGAAGAAACAAAAACCACGGTTGGGACAAACACACACCTACAGCCAGGGGGAATAGCAACAAGGAGGGGTAACAGGACTGCAGATAGACAGCAGGCCTCAGGATACAGGAAGAGTGGTCAGGTACAAGCCAGGTCGTTAACAGGAGGGCAGCGCGGTAAAGGAACAGGATTCAAGGAGAGTGGTCGGGTAACAAGCCGGGTCGGTGACAGGTTTGCAGATAGGTAGCAGGGTTCAGGTAGCAGGGTTCAGGTAGCAGGGTTCAGGGATCAGGGGAGTCACTGCTTTCTGGTGGAGTGCGCTTAAAAAAAGTACAGCACGCAGTTTGCTTTTTAAGCGTGCTGCAGTGAGACACGGTACCACCGCATCACACTGAGGCGAGCATATAGAACGTGTGACATTTTAATAAAATTCTAACAAACAAAAAAAGTACAATGCAGCTTGACCAAGCGTATAGTCACTGGGCCCTTATGGTGGCTCCTTGCCTTTGCAAGGTCCTATGAAGCCACCCTTTCTGTACATGTGGCGAGCCCATGTCCAGAATGACCAGCCTTCAATCATGCATGAAAAATTGAGGTCATTCTGCACATAATCTGCCACCAATGAATGACTCATTTTGGATTGACATTGGTCCTTTGTTACTAGGATGCAGGTGGCTTCATCTAGCACCTTTTGTTGTTAGGACACGGGCAGCTCAAGCCAGTGGCGGAACTGCGGCCGGTGCGGGAGCAACGGGGCCTCAGCCTTTGGGAGCTACCAGCACAGTTGCCGGTTATAATGACAGCGTGAGAGTCGGGACGCTGCGCTTGTCGGTCGTTCCAGGGATCAGGTGAGTATTAAAGTGTTAATAAACCCTCTTGGCTTTTTTTGCATATATATAAGGCTAGTAAGCAGTAGATATATGCAAAAAGTTGAAGAAGAAAAAAAAAACCGCTTTAACACGGTTTAAACTTACCCCGTCTTTGCCGCGCGCTCCCGGCCAAAAATCCGAAACTGCTCAGGCGGCCGCAAAGCATCTTGGGGCGGGAGCATGCGCAGTTCGGATTTTCGGCCGGGAGATGAGGAGAGACACAAGGTAAGTCAATGGGCGCGTACAGACACCCTGGGACAGGAAGTGCCAGCAACTACAGAGGAGTCAGCGCTGGATCGGCGACCCGCCGCACCGCTGGGGGGACAGATGAAAACATCAGGAAAGAAGATCGGATAAGAGACATCAAATTAAATGCCCCCAATGACATTAAGTGCCCCCAATGTAAGTGCTGGCATTTACATTGGGGGGAGGGGGAAAACATTTACTGTAATGTCAATTTAACCACTTCTGGGCCGCAGTAGGTCTATAGACGGCGGCCTGCAGAAGTTGGTAAAACAAGAACACGGCTGCTCCGGCAGCCGTGCTCTTGGTACTGTTTTTAACAGCAGGCGATTGCTGTGTAACTTACAATCGATCTGGTGTCTGAACAGCCGCTAGGCCACTGGGTCGGTGGGTCTCCCCGCAATGATCAGAGAGAGATTCAGCGCTTCCAGCCGCTGATCTCTCCTCCGATCACTGTACGCGGAAGTGCTGTGTATTACATCACTTCCGGTGTCACTGTACAGAGTCTCCGGCTCTCAGAGCCAGGACAAAAAGCTGGGAAAGCAGATCTCAGCTTGTTTGGGGTCTCTAGGTGACATTAGGGGTCTAAAGACCCCTGATTCCTCCATAAATTGGACCTGTCACACCCTTTCTGCTATTACACATTGTGCTTGTTAGTCCCCTATGTTTATACCAATAGGGTTAGTGTACAAAAAAAAAGTTTTTAAAAATGAATGTAACATAAAAAAATGTTTAAGACCCCCGCCCGTAGCGCCTACGTGCAAAAAACGACAATTGTGCTGAACATGTTACATATCGCCTCGAACGTCACAGTGAGAGCAATAATGCAATTTTTCTGCCGATACACCAACGCATCCCTGCTTTCTTTCCTCCCCGCTGCTCTGTGTCCCAGCGGGGAGGATAGAAAGTGAGAACCGGCCAAGCGCTGCGGGAGGAGAGCGCTGTGTTTTTTTTTTTTTTGGGGGGGGGGGGCCCAAAAAAATAAATCTTGCACCAGGGCCCTTTGTTCCTTAGGTCGGCCACTGGCTCAACCCTCCTACCATCCTTCTTTTCTAGCATGCAGGTGGCACTGCCTAGCACCCTTTGTTACTAAGGCACAGTTGGCTCCACCTAGCACCTTTGGTTGCTAGGACACAGGTGGCTCCGACGATCACCATTTGTTGCTAGGACACAGGCAGCTTGAGCCTCCTAGGATTGTTCTTTGTTAGAATGCAGGTAGCTTTGCCTCACCTCCTTTCTTTCTAGGACGCAGGCAGCTCCTGCTCGAGTCACCTAGCATTCTAGCACCCAGTAGGGGATATTTTTTAATTTATATATTTATATTAATTTTTCATATTCAACAACAAATACATAAAACTCCAACAAACACCAACCCCATTATCATGTTAATAGGGGACATTTATACTATATGTTGTAAACATAACAAAAAAGGTTTACATATTTAAAGGCATAAACAACCATGGAATTTATGGCCCTGAATGCAGCGGTGTGTGTGGGTACATAGCATATCATAGGGCTACATTCAAATCCTTAAAATTTTTTACATATTACGGATCTAAACAAAGTTAAAGGAATTCATCAAAACAAGTTGACATCCATAGTAACCAATCAGCTTTTATCTTTCATTTTCAAAGCCTAACTGAACAAACTGAAGAGAGAAGCTTTGGGCAACTGCTCCAGATTCCATCGGCTCCAGTTTTGATAAATTCCCTGCAGTGTATTTTGCGTCCGTGTCATTGAGCCCCTGAAGTAGGGGTGGGCTAACTCCGGCCCTCCATCAGTGGTGAAACTACAAATCCAATGATGCATCTGTCTTTGGGAGTCATGCTTGTGGCTGTGAAACTTTTGCAATGCCTCATGGGAATTGTATTTCCTCAACAGCTGGATGTCTGGAGTTTGCCCACCCCTGCCTTAAAGTGATGCTTCCATGTACAGGAAATGTGCACATGCACTGTATACCATCATTGCTATGACGGATGATGCTTGTTGGTGTAAAATAGTGGGTATATATCACATCTCTACAGATTGAAATTTGTGGTTACATTGAGAGAATTAAGCATTCAGAATCAAATGACTACTACCTTACATCTATGGCTGGCGTAGCTAACAAGTACATTCATTAAAATCCACTACGAGGCAAGGAAAACGCTGACGTGCTAACTGTACGGAGTGGCATTTTCATTCCCAGATGAATGTCAGTATATGAGATTTGTCACTATGGCTAGACATGGCCGCAGATGACAGCTAATGATTTCACAGATAATCATTGTCAGCAGGAATGTCATTTGAACTGAGATGAAATTGGCCCAATGAGGAAAACGTCACTTTCCTCCGAGCTAATAAATGTGTTTGCAGAGAGGTCAGGAGCAGCCCGGTCTAATCTCACACACTCCCTTTCAGTATCTCACACCGCCCTGTGAGGGAACTTTACTAACCCTGGAATCCTGCTAATTAAACTGGCAGCACTTTAATGTTGATTAAAGACAATCCTGATGGTCGGTTGGTGATTGGAGAAAGGAGAACCCCCTGACCTACGTCCAGGGCATAGATGGGGGATTTGGGGGCGTGCTTCTACACGGGCCAGCCTGGGAGATCAGGGGTTAATCGTGTCAGCCCCTTATAACAAAAAGGCCCAGCTACAGCTGGAAGAAGGTTGGAGCTCCAGGCTTGCTCTGACCCATTCTTCTCTGCTGGCTTCCAGGGAAAGGCCATTGGGATGGAGGAATTGGCTAGAGAGAGCATCAGCTTGCTGGCCAAGCCCAGCGGAGAATGTGGGAGCCCTAGTCTGTCCTCCATTGGAGCTATATTCATCATGTTAAAGTCTGCGCTGGGAGCCGGGCTCCTTAACTTCCCCTGGGCATTCAACAGAGCAGGTGGTATGCAGACGGCCGTTCTGGTGGAACTGGTGAGTACAGATCTTCTGCACCCAAAGCTGGCCATACATGTTACAATCTGATTGTATAGTATGCTACATTTAGAAGTATTTAGAAACCAAGTGTGCAGACTCCCATAATATCCATATACGCATCCATGTATCCATTATGTGGTCAAAATTGAATACGTGAATCTGAGATTGTATTAAGCTGGGTACACACGGATAGATTTCTTTTGTTTAGCATACAAGACTGAACATAAAAATAAAATCTGATCGATTTCTTCCATCCATGCCAATGGTGCGGATGGAGGAATATCCCGCTGTGTCCTTTGTATTCCAGCAGCTGCACCCACTGCTGTCAGAATACCTGAACATCTGCTAGCACTGTTCCCCGACAATTTTCCACTTTTCAGTGGCCCTTTGATGAGAGTCATTTTAATGATCGACATTTGTTGAGGGGATAAGGCTACCCACAAATGACATTTTGGCCGATTCTTGCCGAATTAGCTGAAATGCGATCCGTGTGTACTCAGCTTGTTGGATGCTGACATTATAGCTAAGAAGATTGTAAGGCTAGCCACGCACTTTACAATCCAACTGTATAGTCTGTTACATATAAAGCTATTCAGAAACCAAGTGTGGAGACTCCTGTAATATCCAATATAGTAAAAATTGGATACATGAATCTGTTATTGTATATGTTGAATGTAGAAGATTGTAAGACTAGCTACACACATTACAATATGATTGTACAGTCTGTTAAACTTAGAACTATACTGAAACCATAAGGTGTTCAGACTCAAAGAAGATCCAATGTAGTCCTATAAATGGATGTGTGAATCGGGTATTGGATACATTGGCTGCTTTAATTAGATCCAGGGCAGATATATTAATATCTAATTGTACAGCCTGTTCAATTCAGAACTATGCAGGAATCATAAAGGATGTGCGGGCTCACATAAGGTCACACATGTTACAATCCAATTGTACGGCTGATAAATTTAGAACTATACAGAAACCAGACCCTATAAAACGCAGCGTACATATAAAATTGGAGAAGGTGTCAATCTGTAATTGGATCATATTGAAATGTTCATCTGATTGTAATCCAATTTTTTGCATTTTGATTGTAAGCTGCGATTTAATATTCTGCCAATCACAAACCATACAGTACACTGCACAGTGAGATTGTAACGTGTCAGCTTTAGGCGCTGCAATGTGACCGACTGCAATTTTCATAATTGGAAGTAATCCACCCCCCCTCCCCGTAGATATAAAGCCTGATTCACACCTAGGCGATTGAGCTGTTGAGCTGCTGTCACGCTTTTTTTCCCCAACGATTTTGCTTTGAAAACCGCGTTAGAAAAGCACTGTTTTCAATGCATAGAGATCTCTATGGGACCAAAATCGCGCTACAACCGGCCGAAAATAGCTCCTGCACCCTTTTGCGCGACAGGCGATTTTGCCCACGCGAAGCAACGCAAAGTTATGAACAGCCTCCATTGACTTGCATGCGAATCTTTGTTTAGCGCGATATACAACTCGAGTCCCCCAGCTATTGTGGAACTACAAGTCAAATGAGGTATTGCAAGACTGACAGTTACAGACAATTCTCCCAGAGGCAGGAGCTTGTTGAGGTTTGTAGTTAAAGCACAGGTGGAATGCCGGAGTTGCCCACTCCTTGTCTAGGGGGTAGTGGCTCAGGAGGGGTGTCCCCAGGCGTGGCGTCACCCAGAGCGGCCGCTAGGTGTCACCTGCTTGGATGTCATCACGCACGTGCTTGGATGTCATCGCACACGCACATGATATCATCACGCACATTTGTAATGATGTCACGCACACATAACTGCTGCTAGCCATATTGGTGATGGACGCCACCAAAGAGAGGAGTGGACGTTCACCTGGCGGGATAAGGTATGCCACTGGGGTCCCCTCACTCTCATGCAGCTGTTTGGGCTCTTGGTCCATGAATGAGTGCCCGACTTTCAGAGGGGGTGACGCCAAAATGACTGTTAGTCATTCTGATGACACCCCCTCTGATGGTGTCACACCCAGCGAGGCCCACAACCCCCCCCCCCCCCCCCCCTGCACTCCCCTTGTGACGGCACAGTGGCTCAGAAGTGTTGTAGCCAGGGACAGCAAGATAACTGGCATTATCAGAGTGAGGCCAGCAATAGCAACCACTATTCCTCTCCTGATAGGTGTACAGGTTAAAGATTGTCACACGTATTAAATTTCAGCTGATTCCTGCTAAATCAGCCAAATTACAATCTGTGGGTTGCCCTGCCAGCGCCAAGCGCATGAACAACAGTCATTTGACCTCTGTTTAACAAGCTGGGTGGAAAATTGTCAGCTGAAAATTGACTGCATCCAATTAGATGCAGTCATCGGTCAAGTATTATGACAGCCGCGTGCGCCGGCTGTCAGAATAAAATAGCTGGAGGTGGAGAGTTCTCCATCCATGCTCCCTATAAGAGAAAGGGTATCATATTCCATCTCTCCAACTGCCTGTCTCTCCTACCACTTTTAGTTCTAGCACTGCAGCCTCTGCCAGTGTATTAGGTGTTCAACATTGGAGGTGTGTTGGACGTATGTTTCCTCAGCCATGCACAGTGGTTCCTCCCTCTGATCCCTTAGAACCCCAGTTTAGGAACATTAAACACAGATCCTAAAGAAATGCTGATTGTCACTTTAAATAAGCTTATAGCAGCCTTCAGCACTACCTAAAGCACGATGGAAGCCGACTAACAGTTTGTTTAACGTGACAGTTCTTCTATTATGATTTGTATTTAACATCTCTAAATTGGAGTTGAAGGGTGCTTCAAAGGCTTCACAAAAACTGCCTGAAACTTGCTGAAAGCATAGCAAGTACTTTAACAAGTTGGTTTTACACAATGCTGTTATACAATCTGAAGCCTGAGTATATAACACCATAATGACCTGATGTGGGTACCCCTGGGGGTGATAAATTATTTCCATCTGATATTAGGATCATGTGTATTTTCTAACTTGCTGGGAATCTGAACGATCCTTCCTTCTCACTGAGGAAGTAATAGATTAACATTATGAGCTGCAACTCATTGGGTGAATTTCCAGAGAATGAACAGCAGGTCTAGGAACTACAGACAATAGATGTCTCCATGGCTGTCATTCCGAGGCATATACAGGTGAAACTCGAATAATTAGAATATCGTGCAAAGTTCATTTATTTCACTAATGCAACTTAAAAGGTGAAACTAATATATGAGATAGACTCATTACATGCAAAGCAAGATAATTCAAGCCGTGATTTGTCATAATTGTGATGATTATAGCTTACAGCTCATGAAAACCCCAAGAACCCCAAATCCACAACCTCAAAAAGTAGATTATTACATGCAATCAATAAAACAAGGAGTTTCATGGCCAGTGATGCATGCTGGGGGAGTGCAAAAAATACTCAGGGGATTGCCATGTGCTCAGTCCAGTCCACCCCCCGGCTTAGCCGGTGGGGGTGCTATGGTCAGAGATGGAGATGCTGACTAGGCCTCAAGCTTGGAGTAGGCCCCATGTGGACCCTGGAGGGGTCTGGAATTGATTGAGAAAGAGAGCCAGAAGAGCCTTAGGACTACTGGAGGTGCTAGGTGCCATTATGAACCTCAGGTGTCTCTCCTATCAAAGATATAATGCCCATCCCTGTTCAGCTGTTGCTCTATTGCCCAGTGTCAGCCTGTTCTATTGATTCTGCACTGTGGAAGTCTGAAGGGATTGGTGAGTCTGGAGTCTGTGTTCTATTTTTGCTATGGATGTCTGAAGTCCTGTACCCTCTCTCCCAGTTTGATGTTCTGCAATTAAGCATTTAAAAAAGCACTTAAAGTGACTGGTGCCCAACTTTCTTGATCCCATGTCCATTCACTGGCTGAGAATCTACCACTGAGAGTGAGATGTCAGCCCTCCCTACCCTTTGGTGGTCCACCTCAGGTCTCGGGGGGGTGCTACAATTCATTTTTGTATTTTGTTTGTGTTCAGGCTTTTTCTTCCCTAATTTGTACCTGGTAATCCTACAAATAACATATTTCCAATCCTTGGTTAGCTACGCTTTACTGTTATTGGAGGGAGTCTTGGTTGTTATCCAGGCTGTTCTCCTGATTTGGACTACAAACAGGTCTTCCTCTTCATCTCTGATACACGGGGGTAAATCCATGTGCTTTGCAGAGACAGAGATATGTCTCCATTGTTAATGGGCTTGAGAGCTCTCAAGCCCAGGAGGTGTTGGACAAATACTTAAGAGATATAATGCAAGTGACAACACAGGCACTGAGAGGTAGGCAGAAGAGAGGGTTCACACGCCAGTAGCCTCTAGGATGTCTACTTCTCAAATGTTAGCAAAAAGGCAGCCTGGCTGGACTGGAGTTTATAACGAACTCTTTTTGTACACCTACAATTTTTTTTTTCAACATTTCCGGTTTGCTGTTCATTCCACTAATAGATGACTCGGATAGAGAGAGCGTGGTAATTATTGAATGTTACCTCTCTCTTGGATAGTCTTGGGAGATGTGCCATACAAGGTGGGCAGTATACGAAAACTGTGAAAAGCTGTTCATTACATAAATAATGTTTAATAATGTCAATAAGAGTTGACTTACTGATCCTTTCCATTATCTTTGTAGGGTTCCTTGGTCTTTCTTATAAGCGGACTGGTAATTCTGGGGTATGCATCCTCTCTTAGTAGCCATTCCACATACCAGGGAGTGGTGAGGGATGTCTGTGGACCAGCAATTGGAAAACTCTGTGGCATCTGCTTCATATTTAACCTGTTTATGATATCTGTGGCATTTCTCCGTGTGGTGGAGGATCAGCTGGAAAAATGTGAGTTGCCCTTCAAGGTTCTTTCTTTATAGGACAAGCAGGATCCTTTAACAAGGTCAAGAGGAATGTGCACAGTGCAGAAAGCCATATCAACCAATGATAATTCATTCTTCGGTGTATTGAAATAATGAAAGCTGGTTAGAGAGTTACTACTCTCTGCACACATATAGTGAGTTATTTAAAAGGCAATGCAAAGAGCAGAAGGTGTTGGAAGTAACCAATCACATATGTCATCTAGGGCAGTGATGGTCAACTTTCTTGACATAACAGGCCTTAAGTCCGGTCTCTTGGATGGTCAGGCCCTTTAACAATATTTTTTTTTTTTAAAGCTGTGGGAAGAATCAAATATTTTCAAACAGTCCAGCATTCCTAGTAATCAGAACTGTATTTAAAGAGAAGTTTAACCATGAATGATGACCCACTCTTATCAGGTTTAGCCTCTTTCGATGCAATGCCTGTTGTATATTATTACTGTCTGAATATTATGCAGAGCTTTATTGGACAATACAGTTTACCAATCAATATCTTATAGAGAGACGAGATTGCTGTGTGTGTTATAATCTACCTTTTCTAACAAGCCGTTTTAAAGGGTCTTTCTGCCATGAGGAAAAAGTGAGCTCTTAATACTTACACTATGTCCAACACTGAGGGGTCCCCTGCAATATCCTCCTCACCAATTTGTTTATACTGCATAGGAGTGTGGTTATACCAGGCAATATGGCTCTATTTTTCACATACATTGTGCTTTCTTTCCTGTGCAGTGTGTGACTCAATGCATGTGAACCTGACCATGAATGGAGTTGGTGAAAATTTCCAGCCATGGTACCTGGATCCAAGATTAACCATGAGCCTCCTCTGCCTTCTTGTCATCCTCCCGCTCTCCATCCCCAAAGAGATCAGTTTCCAGAAATACACAAGGTACACCTCAATAAAATCTTCTCATTCATTTTTCATCTTGCAGAATCCAGTATATAGTAAAAGTTAACTTCAGTAGTTCAGTAATTAAAGAATACATTGTGACCACGTGGACTCAGTGATGATTGCTTTGAGATTTATTAACAAAGGCAATTTACTGTGCAGAGATTCGTTACAGTGACCAGCATCTGTATACTATGTAGAGACATAGACCAGTGCCCAGTATGCCCTGTCCATTGGTTTTGCAATGCACAGTATGCCCTGTCCATGAAG